CAGTGAAACATTCTCTCAGGGGCTGAAAGATGTACAACTGTACAGTTAGTCTGCTAATAGGATCCATGTCACCAGCAGAAGACAACACAGTCTGTCTAGTCTGTAAAGGTTGAGCAATTCAGATCATAGCTGGACCAACTGGATTTTAGGCTTCTCTCCACACTCAATTTCACTGCAGAACATGGTCAGGAAGAAAGGAGGGTGGAAGCAACAAGTGCAGCCACCAATTCTCCTTTATCCCATCATTTTTTTAACATTGCTCAACACTTATGCCTGATTTAGATAGCTACAATTCTCCAGACCTAAGCAGACACACAAACATTCAGACACAGAGGTAACATTAAAGACCTAGCAAATGAAAGACTAGACAGTGCAGAGTGAAACCTGGATGCCAGGCCAACACTTGCTCACTTCTTCCTTCATTTTGTCTCACGAAAGCAGCACAAGACAAGCCCAGACTCCACTCACACCCCAGGGAGAATAGCAGCGGGGACACTGTCTAACCTCTCCCATGAATGAATTCTCTCACCCCATGGCAGAAGCCGCCTTTTTTGGCACAGGGGGAATAATCTGCATCTCCTCACCATGCCAGCATGGATGACTGTAGGTTGGGTTGGTGACCTGTGAGAACATAACTGCTTTTATCCTCTCATTGTTGCCTCAAAGGATTTTTTAGCTCACAGATCAATGACCCAGACACATTGGGTAGTGTAGCTTCTAAAGAAATTCCTCATGACCGAGCTCCTAACAATACATCCAAATGTCACAAAAAGTCAGTAAACACTGTGAAGACTCAAGTGCACGTTCTGGACAGCAATACTGGGAACTTCTGGTTTTAGTATCCACCACAAAAAGTCCTAAAACGTCAGCACACTTCAAAGATTTTACCATAATTTTAGTCTCTGGCTCACAAAATCTCTGATTAAAAAAAAAGGGGAAAAAAAGGAAAAAAAAAAGACTTAAAAGATCCATTCCTTCCACATTGCATTTATTTCCTAATAATAGCCCACGCTCATGCCAAAATCTGTGGGACAAGGCTTAGGAGCCTTCTGCTAGAGCTCTCTTACAAAATCCTCCCTTGCAGCTTCCTTCTGGACTGAAATTTGCTGCCTGGGAACAACCCATGAAGACTGCTTCGGAGGCTTGAGGAACAGAACAGCTCACTGGGGATGTGCAAGGAGTAAATACCTTGGTTTATGGCCAACTTCTATGTAGCCTTCTGTCAAACCTAGCAGTGTGAACGTCTTACAGCAGTAAACTCCTCTGTTCCACTGTACAGCACTTGGCACAGTGGAGCCCCATATGATGACTAGAGGTCCTGGGCACCACAGAATACAGGGGTTTAGCCTAAGTCGTATATATCTGAAGAGACAAATGGAACAAGAAAGGATGAGGAAGATTTATCCCAGATTTTTTGCCTTCTACGACAGGAAGGTTCTGTGTGCTGTATCATTTGACGATGTCACTGATTGAAGAGAAAGCTATCTTCAGAATATAGAAATGTATTTTGTTAACAAGTTCAAGTTAAATGGAACTGTGATTTCTCAATATGTACAATGACTAATGAAATGCTTTCACTAATGCTCGATGAAAATAAAAAGTGTCACCAATGAAACAACAAATCTGTTAAAGTAACAAGCTTAGAAAGCAGAGAAGATAAATATACTTGGATAACAGAGTGCACAGCAGAGGGACACAACCAAACAGCCAGTACAGTTTCTATGAATTCACCAGAGAAGCTCAGAACAAATGAAATATCTTCAAGAAGTAGATCTGATAGAGGAGAAGTCATCAGAAAGATTAAAGTATAGGTATACTGGTGTGGTACAGGGCACGATAGGCATTGGACTGTGTATTTATAGTCTGATTGACGTATGAATTAAACTGTGCATGAAATAAACTACACAACATGTAATGCTTTAGGAAATATGAATCAGAGCCTGGAAACATTTACTCATGTAAGCTATAAGAGTAGCAACGTTACTTACGAGTAGAAACCAGTCACACTAGTAAGGATTTAAGCAGTCTGTCCATTTCTACTGGAACATGGACAGTAGTAACAGCAATTATAAATTTTAAAATTATTCTCATCATAATAAAAGAAATTTAACTCTGAGCTTGTTCATGACACCTGCTCATTTTTAAATTCAAGAATGCAAGTTCCCTCAGACTCCTCCTTTGATGACATGGTTAATAGTCCAACTTCTTTTTCAAGTGACACTGACTTTCCTTTGACTTACATGAGCATCATTACACTGCCTTAGTACAACTGAATAACATACATGCCTAAAGGTTGTCCTGTGGCAATAAATTTTCTGATTTGTCATGAATATGCCCTCTTATCCTGTAACAGGCATTTCTTCATTATTTAAAATATTAATACCTGTGCTTCTAATGATATTTGGTCTACTTGGAGAATACAGAATTAATTTATTCAGGAAGGTGAGCTGGCATTGACAGAGGCTCCAAGAAACTCCAGATGGGAGAGCTAAATATTCATATAATATTATTTTGGGAAACACAGTCGATGTACACTACATGCTACTTACACAGGACTACAAATAAGACAGTCCAGGATCAAGGTTCAGGTGCTTCTGAAGTGATAAAAATAAAGCTGGTTAGTGAAGATGCTCTGGGCATTCATGAAACTGAAAAGGCATTAGATGCAATGGCAACATCCTCTCTACCACACTAACTTGGTCTGCCACTGATTCTAATTTTGGCATTTTGTTCTTTTAAGACATCTTGTCTAAAATTGTACTTTATAAAACTTAACAGTAAATTAACATGGTTTTGGGATCTGTGTGTGTTATATAAATATCCAATTAAATATAACACCACTTCTGCTACTTCATGTGAAAAAGGTCCATCCAGAGAAAGTATGCAAGAGTGCCAGGGATGCAGAGCTGTTTTCCCCTTTAGCTGTTCAGCTGTTTAACTAAGCGTCTGGAATATCCTAACTGTGTTCTCTGTGACTGCAGGAAGAACTGAACTTACAGAGATTATCTGGTAGCTTTACTGAGGTATTCATATTTTGCAGTGCTGACCTCTGAGGTCTGACATTGTAGGTTTATTTAGAATGTACTAGGTGTCCCAGAAGGCTGTAATTCATCTCAGGATTGGTTCCTTATGCCTAATATCTGTGTTGGTGTTTGTACAGAGTATTTTAGTTCTTATTGATTTTACCCTCTCTTCTACTCCCAACTCCCCATACTTTGTCAAGTTACTTCAAAAACTTACAGCTCGTTACGAGAAATGAAAAGTTGTAATGCACGGGATCAGGAAAATCCCCACAATATTAGAATAGCTACAGATCTGATCATTTTGGTAAGACCTATATCTACAAATGCCAATTTATTATTAATATGGCAATGATGGTAGAAACTGAAGAGGTGCAGCTAGTAAACTAGTGCAGTTTTCATTGATACCAATGGAAGCTGAGTTTGTACAACAGAAGGCTAAATTAGAGCACTTTCATACATTTTTCTGTTAACTGAAGAAAAACGAAGAATTATCACAGCATGTTGTATAGGGGTATGTTTTCATTTTGGTCATAGCACAGTATCTAAAGCACTAAGTAAACACTGTCTCAAATAATTTTCCCCAAAATGTTCAAGGACCATTTTCCCATTTTGCTACCAGTCTTCGAGAGGAAAACTTATAAAACACGTAAGTCTAGTAGGGTTATATATAGTTAGGGTAAGTATGTCTTTCTTGAAGTAGAAAGTTGACAGTTGATTTTTCGTTACTCTTACTGCAGCGAAGTGCATACATGAACTCTTCCAGCATGTAAGAGGGGCCAGTTTGAGTACTGCAGGTAATAACTTGCTCTTGTCTGTTTTATGAAAAGCTGCAAGTTAAGTTTTTGAGTTAAAATGCTGAGTCTCACCAATACAAGAATACAGGGGAAAATCTGTTGGGAATACCAGTGAAAAGTACAGGGAAAAATACTGGAGAAATAGTCTTAATAAAACTTATCCTTCAGTCTCTTGAACAATTGTTTGCTTTTAGTATGGAGGGAAAGCCTAGAGTAAATTAGCTGTTGTTTAATGTGCTCTAATATAAAAAAAATTAGACTTAAATCTTACACAAAAGCATTCTCTTCTCCCTCAAAAGGGCTTGCTCCAAGGGTTTGTCTTCATTAGTTGTAGAGAGCAATGACATATTTTTGCATTCCTGTGGACTGCAGCAAATTGTCCCTCTTAGCTGTCATTGTTTCCTACGGAAGCAACAATGGCTTCCATTTATCACAAGCTGACACCACATGGCATGCAAAATTACATTTCACACTGCAGCATCCAAAGAGATCGTGTAAATAAAAACCATTTACATAAAACACCTAGCAACCAGAAAAAAAAATAAAAGGAAAAGTATAACTGGTTTGAGAAATGAAGTACCTTTTCATGAATCACAGAGACTTCTACTTCTAACCAGCAGCTCTGAAAGTGTTAACTGACTTAAAAACCACCTTACGGAATGTATAGAAAGAATCAAGAGGCTGATGCTCCAGGGAAGGCAGAGAAATTTCACCATTAAAAAAGGGTTCTGATAAACATATAGTTTTCCAGAGACATCAAAGCACAGTGCAGCTGTTAGTACGTCAAAGAAGTATTGTGTTCCCTCCAACAATTCACTGGTGTCAGCTTGTGTTTGGTGTTATTGACATTAGAATAAGCAAATGTACTGGCCTAACAGTGACTCTAGGCTCTTTTTGTTTCAGTTCCTGATGGTGGTATCGGCATCTGCATGTTTTTATGTACAGTAGGTAACCCCCCCACTCATCTATCGAAGGCCATTTCATTGTAGGATATAAAGGGCTCCTCCCCAGCAGGGCAGCCAACATCCACTTCAGTTGTCTGAGAAATGCCTGAACTTTTGTGTCCTCTCACAGGAATTCTGGGGTATGCCTTGGCTATTTCTCTGACGTCTGGTTTTGATAAGTGATTTTCAGAGCCTACTGTCTCCTAGGAATTCTGCAGGAAGAGACTGGGTGAGGTCATTCAGCTTTTCACTAAGTTTCCTTTCTCTGTTTTTGGCTGTTCTAGTGAACATGACCCTCTAGCACTCAGGAATATTTCTGTTCCCTTAGGAACTATCGACCACTTGCTGGTTTTATCTCTGCACACACAAAAGCTCCATGTCGCTGGAAGGGGAAACAAGGTTGACATTAACCAGGGGAACATAAGCAGCTCGTAGATGCAGCTGTGAGCTGAGTTCATTTATTAGCTCAAGTGCTGGCAAAGCTTACACTTGTTTCTCGGCCTCTCTACTGGCCATTGGCCTAGGTCCGAATAGCTAAAGGCAACGGAATAATAGCTGGTTTGTCAGCCCATTTTATT